CTGGGATGATTTTAGCAAGTTCCACGGTGGCAATGAATTTCAACTCAACAGTGGCGATTAATTAGTAATGAGTGGTGGGCGCGATCGGAAACTGGTGTGGGAGTCTGGTGGTGGTGGTTGACATCTATTAATCGATTACAATTGAGTCACGTGTGTCGATGTCTTGCGATGGGTTTATGTGACCCCAATTACAGAAGCCACTTGTGACCGCTTACCATTCACCACCAAAGTTACAAGAAGAATAGATTCCTGAATGGAAGGTTGCACGCACGCACCTCCAAGGAAGGACAGATCTCATGGGCAGATTTATCGCGGCGATAACCAAGCACCAGCATACCCACTGATACACGTGCGTAAGTGTCACGACGAAGCATGCAGGCCCGCGCAGTTGAAGGCGTACTCTGCGCTCGGAAAAGCCGCACCGAGTCTCAAGACTGTTTTTCAGGAGCATCCTGCCAAGTTTTCGTGGCAGGGAGGCGACGTTGCTGTGTAATCCCGATTGAGTCATTAAGCAGGCCATTTTTTGTTCAGCATTCCAATGTTTTAGCCAATCCCTGTGACATGTTTGTATGTGGGTTGGATTTCGGTGTGTTTTTTTTTACTCTGGGAGGACAGCTGTACAGGGTAGAACAGACATAAACTCCGTATAGCCTGAACAGACTGTTGGGACAAGTGCTGTTATCGAACGTCTATGAAGGCCAGCACAGTGCACGAGGTTGCCAACACTACGCCCGGCCGGTGATGTTTACACAGCACACTAGGTACTAAATTGAGACCGAGTCGATCTAGGTAAGGCCCAGGAGCGATTCAGATAATCGTCACTGGTGTTGGCTGTGAGCGGGAACCGAACCCGGGGTGCCGGGTTCGAAGCGCAGCGCGCAATACCGCTCCAACACCGCTCCACCACCGCTCCCCTCCCACACACAAACTCCACAGTCTCTCAACAGCAATCGCCATTCGCCACTAAGTGGCGGTGATGTCACCACGGCGCTTGTGCCAGGCCATGTGCACCTTAAGGCAACATTTTTTGGAAGCTTGTTTTAAAATCCAGGTGTGGGGGTTGATGGATCACGTATAGATGATGTAGGGGACAAGTTCTGGTCCCCCCACCCCTCCGTATTAAGCCGAGCGGAATGTATGTTTCAGACCAGTTTGTGTGTGTGGGGAAGATTTCAGTGTTCTCCGGGCATTCGGGTCTGCTTCTACACGGTACATAAACACTCGAGGAAATTGTGAAACATCCCTAGCAGCGCCTTCGTGAAGAAGACTTCCAGAGACCATCTCTAAAATCAGCATGCATAGAGACTTAGTGGCTGATATAACGTCTAACAACGTTCTAGAAGGGTTTGCTTATTTGCATTAAGCATACTCCGAAAGTCAGAGTTCTGGATTGCTTGTTCTCAAACAGAATGCCTAGGAAGTTGATTTAACGCTCGTGCTTAATTGTTTAACAAATAACATCCTCCCCGTCGTCACTGAACGAAGAAATTCCTCCAGCGGAGTGTGAAGTTAAAGGCCAAAGAAAGCGGCGAGGGCAGAGGGCAAAGCCCCCGCGCCCCGCATCGCCCGCGGTTCCCAGCGTAACCACCACATCGCGATCCGAGTGCGTGCGCAGGTGAACGAGAGCAGGCCGATGGCAGACGCGCCGAGTTTGGTTTAAACGTGTATTCAACGCAGTCGAAGTCAGCCAAAGCAGTCAGCCACGCCTGGCGCGGGTTAAAATAAACACACGGGTGGACCGCAGACAGAGAGGAGTCCCTGCGTCCCTACAGCATGGATCACCTTGCCACAAACACCGGAAGCCAGAGGATCGAGCCACTGGTGGCGAGATAATGGGGGGGGGGGGCGGGGGGGTAACACTCAACAATTTGCTACCTACACCCCCCTCCCCTATCACGAACCCACGGCGATTCATGGTCATGATTCCAGAATTTTTTTTTTTACAAGTAACCTGTACGGACGTGATCGTCCGTCTGTCCGTCCGTCCCTCCAGCCAGCAAAACGTTTGTTTTAAAATAATAGCATGACATTGTGGCGAATGTAGCGGTCTCCAAGTCGCTGCACAGCGATCTCACATTCCGAACAAAATATATACCAATGGAACAAAAGCATCGGTTCTTGGGTGACGCGCTATTCAACGCATGTACGAAGAGCTTTGAGAATCGATGGCGGCGGCGGCGACGATGATGAATGAATGCATCGATGCGTCGTCGTTTACACACTCGAGACAGTTCGTCATTGTGACGCGGTTTCAGCACAAAACCTAAACTCCTTCCACGCCACCCCTCGCGATCAAACTCCACCAAACATTCGACACTTCGCCCTGGGCCCAGGCAATGCTTAGAGGCATGCAGCACCATCACTGGTTAATAATGACAACAATAGTAATGATAATAGCAGTAATAACAACGATAATGATACAATAGTAAAAAGTATTATCGTTACACATGTACACGCGAGTTGTCCGTTTGAACAGCATCCAGGGCGGCTGGGCTCTTATAAATAAAAATACCAAAAGACGTCGCTCCAGAGTTTTACAAAGCGTTACACATTTACATATTAACATGACAACGTAGGATGTCACGGAGACCCCGCAGATTGTGGAATTGAGGAGTGGGTTGGCAGTTGGGGGAGGGTGCACAAGACGTGCTCGTGTGCGCGTGTCAAGAGCCCATCCACGTGTGTTTGGGGCACTTCTCACGCACGTGGCTGGCCTTGTGCACGTTAGAAATAATTCACTCCCCTTCCCCCGTGCCATCGGGCCAACACTGCAATTCGATGAAGGTAGCAACTCGAGGGTCGTTGAGCTGTAATCAAGGATGTACACAGTCTTGACTCGTTTAACAGTGCAGTGAATGGATGGTCGCGTCCCCGCCCCCTAGTGGCTGTAGAGGTGACGTGAACGCCGCACAGACAACGCGAGTCGAAAAAGCGCATCGAGATTCTTGCAGACACAACAACACCCATGCATGCATCGCGAACGTAGGAGTCGATATTAATCGATCAAACGATGAAACGCAAATGAGCCTGGGTTGAATTTGCACCGGCTGGATTGAGCAAGGCGCGGGCGCAGATACCCGGGGGCACGTTGGCGATCTCCTCCGCCAACGTCAAGCCGGAAGATTCGGGGACGTATACGCAGTGCTTGGCGGTCGGCCATCATCCAAGCACGAGACGTGATGGGAACTGGCGAGCTTGCGAGATCCGACAGGATCGGGCGCCTCGTGGGTCATGTGGCTCCACTGTATTTGTAACATCTACATCAATCGTGTAAAAGCAACAAAATAAAAAGCAATTCTCACGACCAAGTCGTCGGCCGCGTGTACAGCGGGCGCAGAAAGCCAATGTTAATCAATCGTATGGTTACATGCCAAGTATTTTAATAACGAACAACCCAGGGTTTGAGTCCACCTGCCAGATTTAACAACGATGTCCGAATACTTCTCATGCGTTTTACTAAAAACACCCGGACTGGACACAACAGTGTTGCCGAGCATTGGCCTTGCATAAGTGTCCGGTCGCTTGACTTGTCGCGATGTTTTCGCCCGCGTCTCTGTGCCATGTGGAAGTGGTGGTGATGTAGCGGTGGTGGTGTAGCGATTAGCTCCACTGTATTTTTAGCCCGCGTCTCTGTGCCATGTGGAAGTGGTGGTGGTGGAGCGGTTCGCGCACTGAGAGCCCGGTGACCCCGAGTTCGAATCTCGCTCACACCTACCACACCAGTGACAATTATCAGAACCTGTCCTGGGCCTCCCCTAGGTTGACTCGGCCTCAAATGAGGACCCGGTGTGGTGTAAACATCGCCACTGGGGAGACAAAGGCGGCCGGGCGTGGCACTGGGCTGGCCACCCACCCCCTCGTGCCGTTGCCGGCCTTCAGAGGCGCTTGCAAACAGCACTTGCTCAAACAGTGTTGAGGTTATACAGCGAATATTTGTCTTCGTGTACGCATGGACAACAGGATCATTGGGTTAGCCTGGCCACTGTTTATTCCCCTTTTTCACTCATACATCCGAGCCATGCCAGAGTGAGGCCCTCACGGTAATGGATAGTTTTTCCACTGGAAATTTGCCGAGCCATGCCAGGGCCAAACTGTAAAACTGGCCTCACAAGACAGTTAAGGCCCACTGAGCTATAGAGCTCTTTTTTACAAGCGACCTGGCCACAAATGATAGCTCAACGAAGTGGCTTATCATGTGGAAATATAAAGCAGCCAAATACTCTAAACGCGTGTTGATTCTAAATGTGGAGGGAAAAAACAGAGGACCCGGAGAAAAAGCCACACGACCACGGAGAGATCATGCAAACTCCAAATATACAGGCGTCAGGGTCGGGATCGAACCCACGACCTCATACTGATAATATCAGGCCACCGTGGCACCCTATACGAATTTGGCTCGGGACCAAGTAGGGTCAGGGGTAAGGTTAATCGTTTTCATCGTACGCATGACCTCCATACGACTCTCGACTCGTTCATTGTAAGTGACATCAGTAAGCACTGCTCGGCTTCTGCAGTGGTGAAACCTGGCGCATCGTGAACTGTGCTGGGCTAGTTCGGTACGGCTTCGGTGCGGGTCGGTTGTAAAGTGACAAAGAGACCGGGATGAGATTTTGTACGACAATTGCAATAACAGCTCTGAGTCATGGCAATCGAGCTTCAAGTTGGGCTCTTGTTTGTCACGAGTTTTACATACATTAAGAGAAACCTTAACTACACCAGGCTTATCAGTCCAGTAAGTGGCTCAAGCAGTTCAGGGTTGGGGTTCAGATTGACCCTTGTTGATATCCAAATAGCGGCCGTGTTCAGCCATCCACTTGACAGTTTTGTTTCCTTTCAAAATTGACAAGCTGGGACAAACAAGAAGCCACACCTCGTGGACCCTATGCGGACTCTGTCTGTGCCACGTGCTCACACCGACTGGGGCAGTCGACAGCGGTTGCAGCGATTGGATGTTCCGAAAAGAGTGCCCCCGAGTTGAAAAAGGGGCAGGACAATAAGGCCTGATTTCAATCGCTTATTTTTAATGCAATAACTTTTATTACAAAAAAAATACGACGGCCGCAGTGAATAGCTGCCGGCCGCTTCCCTGTTCATGTGCCAAACCCACCGCTGCGTCACAGCTGCCTTTATTCTCAAACATAAATAAAGGGGACGTGCGTGCAGGCATTGGGAGATGAGAGGTGCGCAGAGACTGCGGGTGAAACAGTCTAGCAAAGGGCCTCAAAACGAAGCAGGATTTTCACACAATCTAAAAAAAACCACCTGCGGTAACGACAAAAATACTGTAACAAAGAACATCGCAAGCCATCTGCTAATCATAAAACCCCGCGGCCGTGAACACAGCGAGTCTGGAAATATGATGGTTTCCGATGATGGTTCTCGACCTCAGGTCTTTGGGGAGCAAACATAAACGAATGTGGGCTAGAATTTACACGTCCATTGAACCATCAGCTGTGTTCAAAGCCCCAGGGAACACGAGGCCACTTATGCCACGATCTTTAACGACCAAAAGTTATGTTATTCTGATAAAGTTGCCAATAGATATTTGTGGATTAGCCAATGACAACCTGAAATGAAATTGTTGGCCTTGGATACAAAAATAAGTTTGTAAAGTGTGGAAGACACACCGTGACGCTGAAATGATCACACTTTTCAAATGACCAAAAAATATACCAAATTTACTCAAATTTCAAGACAAAGTGGCTTCTTCGTGTTGCCATAGCTTAGCATGCACCCCGATCAAGTGCACACACACACACACAACAACCGCCATTCGCCACTAAGTGGTGGTGACGTCACCGCGGCGCTTGTGCCAGGCTATGTGCACGTTGAGGCCACACACGCACCCACACGCACACGTACGCACGCACGCACACGCACAGGTGGAGGCAAATCTGTCGGCATGAAAACGTTGCTTAGGTTGAGAGCTCCCGAGGCCTGAAGCTGGGAACAATCCACGCCACGGTGGAGCTGCTCGTAAACACGACCGACCGGAGACACGCGCGAACCAACGCCGACGGAGCGAGGGGGGGGGGGGGGGGGAGCTGCCTGACGCGGCGCGTCCACGGTGGAGACAAAACCAGCCGCGACCAGCCGCCGGGACGTGCCGTTTCCTTGGAGGTGGCCGGAGGAGGGGGGAGAACCCCGCGGAGTAATTCTCGAGAAGTAGCCCCAACGCCGCGGCCACCCTCGACGCTTACACCCCCCACCCCTCTCTCTCTCTCGCGCAGCCCACGGGAGGCGCCGAAGGGCAGCGTTGCACCTCGCAGGAGAAATCCGTGATGTCGCAGGTTTTAGCATGAGTGTCGCTCGCTCCCTCTCGCACCTCGGGAGATGTGTGTGTGCGGGGGGACCCACGTTTTGGATTGACGTGTGGCCCAGCGATGAACTCGCATCCAGGCGCAGGCGACCGCTATTGGCGTTCAGGACAGTTGCTGCGGCCACTTGGCCGCTCGCTCGCCGTGGCCGACAGAACTCCGTGACAGTTTTAAGTGTTGTTGAGAGCGGCGGGGGAGGGGGGGGGGGTTAGGGGAGTTGCGGATGGTGTAGGCGAGCAGGGGAGTGGTCAGGCGGGCGGCTGGGCTGACGAAGCGCTGGGGGAGCTGGGGGAGGATGTGAGAGAGAGCACTTTGCGACGTCACGAAGCCCCCTTCGGCAGGACACAGCCTCCAGTGACCCGCGTCGTTCAAGTGTTTTATCGTTCAGATGCTGGCTCATGACAAACGTTGCTGGGTAATTAGTTGTCCTGTTTGCGAGAGTGTCTGTCCTTTTTTGTTTCTCTATTAACTTAATGATTATGTTTTTATACGTTGTCACTGAAATGTCTCTCGGTAACGAGCAATGTTTGTATTTTATTTTCTCTTCTCATTTCCCACGATGGTATGCCAACCGTGTTGAGGTATTATCTTACACCCAGCTCGGAAGTCATCCACTCTAAGCCCTGATAAAGCCTGTAGGAACACACAAATACGCACACACACACACAAACGTGTTCATGTATAGATACGTGCAATTTTACACAACAACAACAGTGCCAGTACGTATGTTGAACTTATTTCGCACTGTATGTAGCGGGGTTAGATATTAGGTTTAAGTTGAAGGGTTTGGGGTCAGGATTAGAAGGTATAAGTGTTAGTGAAGGCTTGGGGATTGGCGTTATCGTTAAGGTTTATGGTTAACTTTTAATGGATAACTTTTTTGTTATTTGTGCTTTTTGTTTTGGTGCGTTTTCTTAATACGTTGATTCATTTGAGTTTTCTTGGTAGCAGGGGTTTTCATGTGCTTGGTATGTATGTGTGTGTTGTGCTTCTTTGGCACCATGAGTAGCCAACCGCGTATATGGGATTTGGTCATCCTATATAATTAATGTATAGCGTTGTTGGATGCTGTTGGCATGAATGACGATATATAAAATTACAAGTATTATTATTAGGTGTTAGAATCATGGGTTAGTTATGAGTTAAGAGTTCGAATTAGGATCAAGGGGTAGGGTTAGATTCAAGCATTGGAGTTCCGCGTGAAGGTTAGATTTAAGGTCAGCATTAAAACTAAAAAGAAAAATGATTGAACTATTTTTTTATTTTAGCAGGTAAGTCCCACTGGGCTATGTAGCTCTTTTTCAGAAGCAACCTGGCCACAAATGAAAGCTCAATAAAGTGGCTTATCATGTGGAAATCTATAACAGCCAAACACTCTAAACGCGTGTTTCTAAATGTGAAGGGGGGGAGGACTCGGGAGAAAAATCTACACAGACCAAGGGAAGAGAGATACTGCAAACTCCAAATATACAGCAGGCGTCTGAGTCGGGATTGAACCCACGACCTCCTGTATACCAGGTGAGGAAGTTAACATCTCGCATTAATGGTAGGGGTTGAGTGGGTATCAAGTGGTGCAGTCACACTCACCCCTCTCCCGTGAGGGCACAGCAGGCCTGGATGTGCCACGGGTGGTCCTTGAAGGACGTCAGCTTCAGGTACTGGGAAATCTCCGCGGCCGACATGCAGCCCTTCATGTCCTGCTTGTTGGCGAAGATGAGCACGGACGCCTTGCGGAGATCCTACCAGCGGGAGACAGGTGGTAATGCAGAGACAAAGATCCCCCCCGTATAGCCTTTAACAGACTGCAGAGGCAAGTGCTGTCACAGAGAGCACCTAAGAAGGCCAACAAAGGCAAAGGCACACGAGGGAGCGGGTGGCCAGCACCAGAGTTTTGGCATTTAAACAGGTACTACAGGTACTCAATTAAGGTAGAGTACCTGTAGGGATGGTCCAGGACCGGTTCAAATATTCGCCACTGTTATTGATCGTGAGTTTGGTGTGCGAACTGGACAAACACAAAGAGTCCTCCGACAACCACACAGACTGACGGAGGAGGCAAATGCTGTCATAGCAAGCACCGATCAAGAGCAAAACGCCATACCAGTGGATTGTGCGGCAAGCATCATGCCCGGCCACCTTTATTTTCCCAGTGGTGATATTTATGCATCACATCACATACACATTCAGTTTACGTCGACCTGAGGCACAGGACAGGTTCATATACCAATTGTCAGCGATATGCAGGTAGACATACCCACTCATACATTGGTTATTCACCGGTACATGCCGTATTAATGAAGGCGTTTGCACACAAAAGTAGTTGATAAGGTAAATGACATCTTCACGATGCCATCGTCCCCACCGCTATCGATTGATCGCAACACATCACATCACCGTCACTTCCTTCTGCCAAATCCCGCAAACGCCGCGCAGTCGACACCCAAACTCCCCAAGGCTCGGTTGCGCACGCACAAACAGGAGCCGCTTGTTGGGTTGGGTTTCTCTTTTTAACGTCGCGTTGTCGCTTGGCTCCCTGTGTACCCCGCACAGCCTCTGCCCCTACCCCCCCCCCACCACCTCGGCTACAACGTCACTTCGGTGCGGCGCCGACGCTCACCTCGTGGGCGAGCATGCGGTACAGTTCCTCCTTGGTGATGGCCAGTCGCTCGCGGTCCGTGCTGTCAATCACCACGATCACAAACTGCACACAACGGGGGCACGGGCACACGACCAGAGTCAGAAGCTGCACCTGCTGGTCGGGCGGCTCCGTGTGCGTTGGTGGGCTGGGGCACGTAGAGGGGTGGGGGGTGTCGGTCAATCACACCGGGAAGGTGGAGGCATCGAAGAGTGGGCATGGTAACGATCCACCAATTAATTGATCGCGATCGATGAGTTACTGGACAAGTCGACTGCCCCGCACCTCCGATTAGCACGGTTGGCTACGGCCGGTGCGAAAGAAGTTCAAAATACATACACGTTTCAGCATTATTAAATTCATAATTATTTTGTTCATGACATGTGTATGTAACATCAGTCACATAAGCATCAATGATGTATTCAATAGTTATATTTCAGATAGGTTCATGGAAACAGTGGGGTCATGGATACCCTACAGGCACTAGAGAGATTCTACACAAACCACAATGACAAAAAAACGATTGGTCCATGAATCAAGCCGTGACGCCGAACTGAGACCAATCGTTGAATTGCCGGGAAGGGGAAACGTCGCACACTTATTAGAGAGGTCAGGGGTTTTGGTGGAGGGGCAAGGTCAGGGATAAGTAGAAAGCAGGGGGCCTGGGTTCGATCCCTGATTCGGGTGCCTTTCTCTATGCGGAGTTTAAATTTCTCCCCCTGTTCTGCACTGGTTTCCGCTGGGTTTTCCGTTTTAGCTAAGAAGAAAACACACACACACAATGTAACAGGTATTTGGGCAAACACCCCAAACGCTGAAACAAAATACCTAAAAATTACTCAATTGGAATTCGCAGCAGGGGGGGGGAGGTGTAGCGTTGCTAATCTGTAAACATCGCTCCCAGACTGCGAAAACTTGGCAGGGCCCTCCTGACAAGAGTCATGAGACTCATCGAGGCTCTCCGAGCCAAGCAAGATGAATCAGAAGATTTATTTATACTGGAGGAATCCGATGAGCTATGGAGCTCTCTCTCGCAAATGTCCAGTAGGGGCGGGTCAGAACCTTAAAACAACAAACAATACAAAAACACGACAGCACAGCCTAGGCAAGGTAAATAAATCACTTAAAATGTATATAAATACAACTAAACTATCTTTTATCTTACTGGGTAAAGCCCACTGAGGTATTAACTTATCTTTCAGAAAGCAACCTGGCCACAAAAGACAGCTCAACAAAGTGGCGTATCATCACGTGGAAATGTATAGCATCAAAATAATCTGAATAATATAAATGCATATTTATAAATGTGGAAGGGGAAAAAAACCCGGAGAAAAATATACGGGGGTCATGGCAAAGTGTGGGGCATGTGCTTTAAGTCAACATCTGGGTAAGGGCTGCGTAATGGTGCATGGGACGGGAGTCGGGTTAACATGAGGGCTTCAATTCCTCTGGTGGTACGCACGCTAGTAGATCTCGTCAAAGGTGGTATATTATATATACGCACACCGCGCTGTGCTTTGTGTGCAACGCGGGAACCGCGCTCCCCCAACCAGCACGACGGGGAACTGTATTGTATTCGATTTAAAGCTTTCGTGACTGCATGTATTCATGATGCCGTCGTCCTGCACGATTTAAGACCGGAAGCAGGTGGATGGCTTCACTCTTCTGGCAAATCGCCCGAAGATGCTGGATGTAATTACTAGTGAAACGTCACAGTACTCAAATTCTAAATGTTGTGGATTCACTCTTCAAACACACCGGTGGGCTGAAGAAGTAACTAATTGGTGTTTGTTAACGTAACACATTTTTTACCGATTGGCCGTGTCGGGTGGTGGAGGGTTGCGGCACATTTATACTTACGCGATTTAACCCAAAAACTTTTATTATGAATAATACTGGTCGCGAAAGTCTACGTGTTAAACTGTATTGTATGTATGTAGAACTTCTTTCGCACCGTACGTAGCCAACCGTGCTAAATCGGAGGTGCAGTACGAACACCCCAATATTCCACGCCCAACCGTTGTCAATGATACGACACAACACGATGAATAGAAGCATTAGGGAATGTATCAATGTGACGAGTCAATTATTATATAAAAATTATGTTTTAGACACATGATAAATGTGTGGAACAGTGCATATAAGAATATATTGTTTTCGATTCGTTCGTGTAAACCCTACGGCCACGAAGCAGCTCTACATTCACCATAACTGCAAAAGCAAAATCATGAGAATACAACGAAAGCACGAGGAGACCACATTCTTACATGCTCGGTAAGCATGGGAAGATTCAATGAATCAATTACATTTATTATTTCGATCAGAATGAAGGAATGGAATTATGTGCGTACAAATCCATTATTAACCGTCAGGCTAATGGAACAAAAGAGGTGGAAATAAATGAGACAGACAATACAAACAAGGCAGCAGAAACGAGACAAAAAACAGAACTAAATGGTGAGCTATGATGGTGACAATGTGTCGACATGCACACGCCTACGACTGGACAACATACACACTGCCTCCAGCCACACGGTGGCATAACAGCATCTTGGCGCTCATTTTAACGGAATGTAACCACCGCTCGCAATCATGGGTTGCCAGGAGAGAACGAGTGTAAGAAATGGGCAAAGTCAATGCCGATAAACACGAGGTGGGGAGTCATGGGTGAGAGAAAGAGTCAGGGCTGGGTAGAGAGCCACACACACACGGGCTGGGAGGCAGGGTGCCGCCGCTCACCTCGGTGTTGGTGTAGTACGTGTTCCAGGAGGTGCGCAGAGACTCCTGCCCTCCGATATCCCACACGATGAAGTGCGTGTTCTTCACCACGATCTCTTCCACGTTGCTGCCTATCGTCGGGGAGGTGTGCACCACCTCGTTCATCAGGCTGTAGTGGCAGGGCAGAGGACACGGACATAGTCAGGGAGTAAACACGATCGTGGATGCAGTGGGAGGATGATGAAAAGACGGGGATGAAAATAGGCAGATAGAGAAAATTAAATATCATGATATCTACCTTCAACGAATGTGTTCTAACGTGAGTGGTTGCGCTGATGTGCAAGAGGTCGACTTGATCCGACACCCCACGGCATGATGTCGACAGCGCAATCGGGATGAAATTGTGAGAAGAGACAAAGTTATTTTATTTTCAAGTGTGGGGGAGGTTGGAGGATACCGTTTTGTGTTTTGCGTGCGGAGACTCTGGGTTTGTTGCAGGCAGGCTCGGAGTACTCACAACTGATAGAGTATCGTCGTCTTCCCGGCGTTGTCCAACCCCACCACAATAACCTTGTGCTCTGAAAAAAAACAACAACGAGCGGGCAGCGTTAATAGACGAGCGACGAACTCGCGTCCATCCAACAGACATGAACGATTGTGAACAGGTGAAATGCACACGTGGACTTAAATATAACACCGATGTTAGTTTTTGGATAGGGCTGCACCATATGTTTTTTTACATACTTTGGAAATCTCTTTTTTGTTCTTGAAAAAAAAAGAGAAATTGGGCCGTCATGAATCTCTCTGCTTTTATGGTCTACGGAGCAGGAATACAATTTCAGGGGCTGCCAACAGCAGTGCAGACGCAAGAGCTGAAAGAACTAGAGAAAATGTGCTGGAACTGAAATTAATAACATTAATGATTACATAAAAGCTATTGTTTATGTAATATATCAACAATAACTTACCAAGTAATTCATAGGCTATGACTACGCCTCCATTGTTGATACCATCAGAGATACGATGATGTTTACAACAATCAATTAAAATCCATTTGAAGCTCACAACACATGCATCAAAACACATGCCTGCAAGAACTGGTGTTTTTCCCTTCATATACTTTGTAAGTAATTGACACGAGCTCTACAGTCACGAGCTGCCACTATATCCACCACAATGTTAATAAACGAATCAATTATCAAATTTAATCGCCACACCGAATCGTGAGACTTCGTCACGTTGCCAGCGATTAATCGTTAAGACTAACACTACGGATTAACCTCGCAAACTTCCCCAATACATCTCTTTACCCTGTGCCACAACAACCGCCGTTCGCCACTAAGTCGCGGTGACGTCACCACGGTGCTTGTGCCAAACTATGTGCACCTTGAGCCCACGTAATGTGCGAGATCTGTGTTAATGTTTATACTGTGCCACGCGCGTGCGTGCACGTGCACACACACATACAAACAGACGAGTCATTCAGAACGCCCGTCAGTCACCCGGTGGACAGCTCAGGCTGTGCACTGCACTATTAAATCCAGGTGTCAAGGAATATACTTAAACCGGTGAACCCGGCACAGTGGGGGGAGGGGGGGGCACCATTCGCACCACCGGGACAAGTGCGGCACGATAAATAAATGAGCACCGATGACACCGAACCACAGGACCCGTAACACGATTTGCAGTGCACGGCGCTGTGGGCTTGGGTAGCGGGTGCATAAAAGGGCTCCGGGGCTGGGCGGTACAGAGCGAGGGTGCAGATTGTGCTTATTAATTATCCACGAGGTGTGGCCGCGAGCGTAACTTGACCATTAGCGACCGCGAAACCCCCCCGTGCTGCGATGGTGCAGAATGGCGGGCGGAGCTTCGGCCGGTACCAACACCGTCATCAAGAGCGCTGTTGTCATCGCCGTAACAATACAACTGGCGATGTGCAATTCACGTAGTGTCTGAATGCGACCCCCGTGTGCCCGATGCTGTCCACAAACGGCGAGGATGGTTTGTTTTGTTCAGAGTGCCGAGTCGGCACTTGTTGGGGGGGGGGGGGGGGGGGTAGATTTTCGACCTTCGGATTGGGAGCCACGCATGGCCAAACGCCGCACCCACCTGGCCACTTATTTTATAATAAATGAGACACCGCAAACAACATGGCAACTACATTTAACAATTACTGCTGTCGAGGACGCGAGTGGTTAGATCATGTCCATCAATTATTTGAGAGCAATGGAATGCAGTAAAATAATTGTTTGATGCCGGAGCAAGTTTATGGGGAAACATGGACACTGTAAAAAAAAATATATCAATGTGCATAAAAATTATTTTAACTTAAATAATGCGTACAGTCTTCACTCACTCTCGAAGAGAGACAGAGAATAACTCAGAGGCACGAGGAACCAAAAAAGACGAGCAGGATGGCATCCGAGCAATAGCCAGTGGCGTTTTACACGTGGGAGGAAGCCGACGTGTGTGCGAGAGGGAAACGCTCGATGCCATACAGACAGAACAGGTTGAGTCGACATTTTTGCTGCACTGCATTATCCTGGCGAGTCAGGATTATGGCACTTCGACACCTACGGTAAGGGAGTTTCACAACATTCACGTGCGGTCCACCAACACTTCGCTGCCTCCGTTGCCGAATTACAGGCGTGCGAGAGCCTCCATCGCTCGGCGAATCAGGACTTACCGATATTTAAAATATAGGAAGCAATTTCTTTCGGGGCATCCCGCATATTAATAGAAGCACTGATTGACGACTCATGAACAAAGCACAATGATGTATTCACTCACAGAACATTGCACAACTAATCACTGGGTCGGAGCCTCTCTGACCATGGGTTTTTGCTTGCTTCTGATAATAGCAACTCGGCGGAACTGGAAGCGAAAGAATAATATTTGGACAGTGATTCGGACCACGTCACAAAGTACTGAATGGGAGGATTTTACGCTCAGTCACCCAGTTATTTCTCTCTCCCCCTCTCTCTTCTGGGGAGAGTGGGGGGGGGGGTCATCATGACTATCGCCATCGTCATCATGACAGCCAACATCATTTTCATGAGCATCACCAATACCATCACCATGATCTCAGCCATCACCATTACCAACACGATTACCATGACCACCAACATCGCCATCTTAACGGCTGCTGTCATAATAATCAATGTGACCCCTGTTATCGGCAAGATAATTTTGTTCACTGAACTGTAAATGTGTTTTTAAAAAGGACGTCTTTTCTCCTACTTTATCCCCATCGTGCTAATATTGGTGTCGTGTCTTGAAGAAATAATTTATAGGGAACTCACGCACAGCAGCGCAATCCTCAGTTACAGAACGCTCCAAGAAGGCGGATATTGCAAAACTACTTCTGAGATCCCTTCAAGTGACCTCTGGTGCACACATAGTAATGTTTGTCACGTGATAGCCAGACTGATATTTTTAATACTCAAGAGCTGGAATTTAGCCAAGTTAATTGAAGAACCAATTTGAACAAAATTACTTATGTATATGATGACTAAATAATAATTGGTGACTGGGCTGAACCACCAACTCACCACACTTGCGAGAGAACCCACTCGACCACCTTCTGTAACTGTGTTTTTTATATGTTTGTAACTTAATGGAAAACAAGCAAAACAACAAGCGGTTCTTACGTTGTAGCTACACACCGAGACTGTGTGTCCTGGATAGTCCTGTAGGCGTTTAAATCTCCACCAATGAAATACAAAAAATGTAATGCGATATTCAGGAGCCCTCTGTTAATCTCATTGTAACAAAATAGCTGTACTTTTAATCCCTCGCTGCAGAGATGCCACGACAGCGCCCATTTCATTGGATAGTAAAATACTATCCAATGAAATGGATAGTATTTTACAAGGTTGTAATTGAACTGATTTTGTACAAAAAACACCTCTTGAGGCCAAGAGGTAAAGTTCGATTGTGAAATGTGTAATTTGGAAACTCTGGGAACACATGGTTCTTTTCTTATGAATACAAATTCCTGTTAAATGTTGGCAAGTTTATACAAATGCAAAGCTTGTTATTTGTTTTCAACTGTGGCCTCTTAACGGGTACGAACATTCTTACTAAACGTCCGAGTTTCTGGTGAGCAGATGCTACACGTTGAGGCAGGCCCACTATTTTCAGGACGTGCTCTTTTGATGTCCAAGCGCTGCCACCACCACACCACACCGCGGCCTCTCTTCCTTCTGCTCACCTTGGAGTTGTTGTAATGTTAACACCAGACCTTCCAGTTCTGCTCTCGCAAGTATCCCAACACGTGGTTTAACAGTCTTCCACTTCGATGCATCCCCAAAATGCCTGCCTTGCTCAGCAACCTGCCCCTCCGCCACTCGACCACGACACTGGTCCCACCTATCACGGCCCCCTTTTCCTCATTACGCCTAGAACACTCTGCTGCCATTTTTTATATGCTTTCAAAGTTGCTTTAACCTATCCCCTCCCATGAAATGCATAGGACGCGAGGGGACACACCCGCACAATTGCATTAAAAGAGAAATACGCCGACCACAACAGCTTAGGCAGCCACGTGACGAACATCAGTTGCCCGGTATGCCGCGTGAGCATATCCAGCGCGTGGTGCAAAGGTCAGCAGGGCAGGAGGGGAGGGGGTAAAAGGTGAGGCGTTCTTGCGTGGAAGTGCAGTCACCGCACCGTATGTATGTAAGCATGTTGAATTTCTTTGGCACCGTGCGTAGCCAACCATGCGAATCGGAGGTGCGCGGGAAGGACAAAAAACTCAACACAAAAAGCAGTTCTAAATGTATAAGTTGACCGCGCTGTCCGACATTCGGGAAAGTGGTGTGGCCAGACCCGGACCATTAATGGCCACGCAGGACCCCTGCAGCGTTAAAATCAGGAGCAAGGCTGGGTCCAGCGCAATGGTATTTTTAACATTGACGTTCCCCGTTAACATCCGCCTCGCAACCCCCACCATCCCCGGCAATTATGCCAAAATTCACGATATTATCATTACAGTACCAAGCAAAAATGTGCGTTTCCGTACCTCGTGCGCCCACTGACAGCAAAGCCACAATACGTGGCCATTCGCGACACATTTATCGCGACACACACACGCGCATGAAATCTGCCACTGATATGTGTTTCCTGTAACACTTTACGAATATAACAAATGTATTTGGTCAAGATTAATATTCATTATGCCTATCAAACGTTGTTTGAATTGTTTACATTTTATTCCATGCGTACTTAATTTTCACGCCGTATTTATTTTGGCAAGTCTGGAAAAACGGGTCAAGCGAAAAAAAATGTTTTTAGGATGTCAACATTTCAGGCACGCATTTAACGCAGAGCTCTGGCTCAAGTTGGATCGATTAAATGCCTCGTCCCTCGGGGCCCAGCGTGAACGTGACCAGGCAGTGACTTTAAACCGGGAATTTTAAAACAGGAAAGATGCTCCCCGGGGGAGGTCATGGGGCTCCTGTGCTGTATGGAGTGGGGACAAACACACGACAAAGATAGAGATCCCCCCCCCTATAGCCTGAGCAAAACTTTTGGGGCAAGTGCCGTTAGCGAGCACCTATGGAGGCCGGCACGGCAC